GGTTGGTGGACCACTTGCAGTTCACTTAGGGGAGGTGGCCGAAAACCCCGATTTCAAACCAACAAAGAAGAGGCTTACGAACCATATTCACCCACACCTTGATTGTGACAGTGGTCACCGGCTCAATCGGGCATCGAGGTGTATTGGGCAACTTAGACGTTTGACCCTGTCCAAAGGGCGTATGATCTGATGAACTGGACACCGGCCCCCAATGGATTGCGGTTATTACACCCCGCTGCCTTGTGGATCAGGCTTTGGCTAGCCAAAGGCTTCGGTTGTAGATTCCTCAGGAAAATTCACCTGCCATGGCCTGGGCAACCTGGCGGTATTCGGCCCACAAGTCAATCATGAAACATTTTCTTTTTATAAATATTATTGTACCGTGATTTGTTTGACTCAGTCTGACATCAAACGTGTGTGAAAATAAAAAAGTAAATGTTTTTCAAGCTCGTGCTCCTCCTCTCCCCATAGGATAGTAACAGTTAAATCATTGCTCGGCAAAAAAATCACATGGAGTTCCAGGTAGGAGATAGCAGATAATGTATTTTTCAATGAATTTACGTTTATTTATTAGTTGTGTAGGAATGTGAGGTGTAACAGGGTTTCATCGAGTCTCCTGAAAGATTCAATAGTTGGTGCACAAACGATGTCCTGCGTATTCTGACTGCAAAAGATTGGCGCCGGCATTCCATTCGATACTTTGGAATCAGTAACTTCAAGCGATGTCCCCTAAGGTGGATATTGTTCAACATCGTGAGTAGCGGCCCACATGGATGGTTTGGGTTCTGCAGTATTTGATACGTCAAAATCAAGTCTCTCCGAATTCAGCAGTACTGTTCGCCTTGTCGTCCATCACTCACTTCCTTCAAATTGGTGCTCCCACAATGTCGACTAGAATGCTGGCTTTATTTATTGGTCCTCAGAGTGTGCACTATTTTGAATTATCTACCACCCGACTTTATTTCTGCGCCCACAGTTGATCCTTTGAAGCACAAACTGAATGATTGACAAGTCTTAGATTTCGGCATCCGTAGCAGTGCACGAAATAAAGAAAATTTTTGTACGACATTCCTTATCTTCGTATGAACCGTAAATTGATCCGTCTGTACTTAACCCTATGGGACAAGAAAAACAACCGCTTGTGTACGTATTTCCCATCATAAAACTTTGACCTTGACGTCTGCCAGCATCAGTAAATGACTCGGTGATTCCGCATCATCTGCACCACATTTCGCAACAAACACAATCTCTCCAAGTGCACGTTTTTAAACAAGTGTTGTGAACGGGAATAATGGCATCCTACTGATGAGGACTGATTAAAATAGGAAGCAACTTTTCGTGTTGAACTTGTAGAGCTGATTCAACTTTTTTGCATTGTGATATCCTTCGAGGTTTCTGTCTCCCTCCCCTCTCATCTCTTTGAATCAGGTTACCGTTACGGCAATACATTGGTTCCTTTCAGTGATGAGGACAAGGCGGCGCTAAAACAGTCCTCTGAAAAATGCCTCAGCCTGATTGGGTTTACACAGTCCTCTAATGTAAGTTATGTTTACTAAATCGTTACCTATCTTGAATCGCTCATTAATCGCATAGGATTAACGTGTTGTCCAATTTTTTAAATACAAACCCTTGTGTGATAAACAGCAAATGGGATGGGTCCCTCAGTCGCCGAGACCTGCTGTTCAGTGATAGAACCTGGTAACACCTGAGCCCTGCGAGACTTGAAGTGGTGAACCACATGAGCCCCCGCTATGTTGGGCGTTCTATTGAGTCGGACGACAATAAGGCTGCCTACCACTGAAGTTGGGTGGCTGTGGCGCGGCTCGAACCATGAGTCATAGGGTCCAAGGCACAACAGTGACAGCGAATAGACCACTGCGGCCGAAATTCAAAGGCCTCACCATTGGTACCGGGAACTACTTGGCACACAATTTCAGCAGGACATGGGATAATGCATCAAGTGCATGCGCTTTTTTTCGATTTAAGGCGATCAAGAACCTGCGAGACCCCAACCGGATAGAGTGGTATTGAGTCGGGTACCGAAACAATACCGGAAGAAGCATTGCACCTCGACTTCGATTGAATTTAGCATTTGTTTCAAAGCAATGCTCCTATCAGTCACATCCGCCTTTTTCTCTTCACAAACAAGCCATTTTAGTAAAGATGATGAGTACTTGTTGGCACCAAAGTGTGAAGTGGGAAGTCTCAACTGGGCAAATAAGATCGGATAAAAAATTAACATATTCCCTTCTGGAAGCGTTATCGGTACGTGCGAAAACCGGAAAGTCGATGCTATAAACCATGTGTTTAAGTTTACCTAGGCTATCAGGTGAAATCCCTTTCTTTCCGGTGGTTTCCGTGGCAAGACCTGGTAGTTGATGATGGCATCGTTTATCAAAAATAATTTTCCATCAACAATATCGCGTTTCAACGACGCTACAGGCTGTTGTCGACACCATCTCCGCTAGCGAAGTTAACATCCTCGGGCACGTCGGAAATAATTAAATCCATCAAATGGCTTCTATTTTCTTGCATTTCTCATGATTTGATATACTCTTGACATGATCAAGTTTTTCCGTGAACGAGCGAATGGTACTTGGAATAATATGTTGAACGTTCATCGAAGGAACATCGCCCCGGTCCTGTACACCAACCGGGATGATGTTTACACCTGTACTGCTGGAAAGTATGACTTCGAAAATATCGAATTGGTTTTAAAGGGAGGATCGTTCATCCACTTCGATTTTGTGAAATAATATCCGATAGTAATAAGCTGCGACCAAGTTCAAAGGTCCTTCGGAATCATGGGTTGATAGTTTCGTGTTCACGGTATTCAAGTATCCTGCTTATGACCAGCTGCATATTCTATCACGCGTTGCGTTGTTTATTCCCCAGTTGTTTTGACCAATATCTCGAGTTTCCTTCGCTCCCCATTACACGAACTCTGTTTTTTTTCGAGTCATTGTTTTCTGCGTTTTTTCATCGGATTCCACCACAATAGTGCTGGCATTTCAATGTTGATACCATCTCCATTTCTAACCATTGGTTGCCTGATTGATTCACATTGTTGGAAATGACTGCATCAGGAAGTATCTTCTTAAAAAAAACTGACTACTATCAAATAAATGAGTAGCTAGAATGCGAGTTCACTTTTAGTTAGAATTATTTCGGGAGTTGTGAAGGCATTTTAGGTAAATGTTGGGAATCAGTTTGCTGGGCACGGGTCAGACTTACTGAGATGTAAGAAACAGTGAAATGTTGTTGTCATTGTGGGAATCTTTGGAATCAATTTCAAAATCCTTAGGTGAAAAAAATTACGTTCAGTTGTCAGATTCACAGGTGGATACCAGTGCGAGCGTGAACAGACACTGATTCATGAGGAGATCCCACGGATTGGTGCGGTAAGTTGTGTGTGACTGACCAACTTACTGGGTGGGCTATACACTTACGTTCTGTTCGTGAGGTCCTTGATGCAGTTCCAACTTAAACCAACGAATACCCATTTAAACAATGACGTCTCACAAAGCTGAGTTTTGGCATTTCGTTACGGTTCATTAAGACCTGCTGTCCCCAAGTGCTTGAAAATCAACCATCGATATGCCTTTCTCATTGAAGTGTCTTTTTTTCGTTCTCTAACGACTTATGAGTAAATCAAAGGCATGTTTTATGGCAGGCGACCTGCCTAATCCCCAGAACTTACTACACATTTTCGGCCATTTTCTCACCAGGAATCGAAGTGTTATAGACAACTTCAATTGTAACGTAAAATCCGTAGCATTGAGCTAGAGGATATCAGGACTATTCATTACCAGAGTATAAACTGAGATTTAGCGAAACTGCAAAAATGACACAGACAGCATTGGGCATTTTTCAAGATACATAAATCCGGTACGCTGAAATTACAGTTATTCGTGTAACTAGCGCTCGAGATTTTGAACAGATTTATCTCCCCGACGGGTAGCAAGGTGAAGATTAAGAATCAGATAAACTACGGTTTAATAAGAAAGAGAGTTGATGCATGCGCGCGTTTTCTACACTCGACCACATCACTCAGTGTCTTTACCCATCCATCAAACAAATCTCGAGGTCTACAGCCGGGAACCGCAACGTGAGCTATATATGACCAAATCCCCCGGTCAGGGTTTTCACACTCTCATACCAGGTCTTAGTTTGATCGCGCTGCGCTTTTTCCACCCCTTACTTTCCTCGGCGAATATCACACACCGGGAAAATCTATTTGATCGCGTGCATAACACCCCCATCAAGACAACAGCGATTATCTAATCCCAGTATTGCTTGCTCTCTTACTTCGGCAGACTCGTGCTATTCGGCGTTGACAGTAGGGCTCAAATAACGATAGTCTATCTTTGCTCTGTTCCCCCTAACGGACAAATCTTTGCACCATAAAACACAACCGGCTGAACTGATGGGTTTTCGATTTTTCTGCACTGCCAATTAAATTAGCGTTTCATTGATTGTAGTGTTTTTCTAGCTGCATTTATTTTATGTACAATAAGTACAATAAGATTAGACGGGCGGGGCCTTTAAATTCGGCCGCGTCATTTATCTCGAAAATCATATTTACACTTTTGTGGATTTATTTGTCATCAAATCGTATTGTTATCAATTTCGAGGACACGAAATGCTATCCTACACGAGCACGTTCATGAAATCGTTATGTGTTATCGCGCGAACTGCACCTTTTGTGAAATATTCCAATAACGTGAGAAATAAATTCAGGCGGATGATCAAAACACATAACGGCAGAAAAAGAAAGCATCGAGCAGGCTGGCATGTCGCTCTCAGACAGTGCAGCACTAGTCAGATGCAAATTCCTCTCATTTTAACAAGCAATGTTCGTTCTCTGTTGGGAAAAGTCGAGGAGGTGGTAGACATCACAAAGAAAAAGGAGTACAAAATCCTGGGAATTATAATGCTTCAGGAATCGTGGCTACATGAAGAAATCCCTCGTAAAATTTTANAACCTAGGAATTATTATGCTTCAGGAATCGTGGCTACATGAAGAAATCCCTCGTAAAATTTTACCGGTGGATGGATATAACTTGTATCGGGTTGACCGCCTCGCGAGTGTCGGTTATCGAGGTGGAGGTGTTGCAAGTTACGTCAGGGAAAACTGCAGTAAATCAACTGCTGTCATTTACGAATACTCAACGGTTAAAATCGGTTGTCATGTCATCGAATGTAAGCCCCGTTTTTTGAGTGGGTTTAATTCCATCCTTCTTGGAAACCT